AAAAAAAAAAAAAATAGAGAAACTCAGTGGGCAATAGGATTGCTTAAGCCTAAGAATTTGAAGTTGCTGTGAGCTATGATGCCGCAGCACTCTACCCAGGGGGGCAGAGTGAGGCTCTGTCTCAATAGTAAAAAAAAAAAAAAAATAAAATAAATTAAATGCATAAGTTAAAAACAAACAAAAAAAGAATCTACAGTGACTCCTCATGGATGTCCACAGGTTAAAAGCCAATCCGCTTGGCCTGGCATCCTGTTTATATTTAGTTTTCACTAGATATTTAAAGAAAAATTAATAAAAAGTGATGAACTTGAATATTTATAGTACTACAGATGCCCTTCTGATGTCTAAGCTTAACAGTCCCCAATGTGTTTACACAGCTGCCAGTTGTACATACCCTTTTGCATTCTATGTTTTTTTTACAAACACACATTTCCATATGTCAACAAAGGCCACACACCTGTCACGTTGAAGAGCTGTTGAGCACATCATGATAGTTTCAAGGTCCCCAATGACCTGGCCCCATGCTTCACTACCAGCTTTTATTTGCCACTCGCCTGTTACGCCTTTCCTGCTTCTACTGTGACCCACTCCCTCCCTGTCACGCTTTCACCCTTCACACACAGTCCATGTTCCTCCCTGCTCTGGGGTGTTGTGGCTGTGCCTCTCCTGCCCACTCTCCCTTTCTGATAATACTCCTCAAGCTGCGCCGTAAACACATTATCTCAGTCATTCCACTCAAGAAGGAAGATGCTGCCCTTATTTACCAGATGAGGAAACTGAGGCTCACAAATGTTTTGGTAAGTTATCTATAGTCACACAAACAGTACTACCAAACTTGAGTCTGGGGAGCTCCCCACCCACTAGTATTTCATCTCCCTAAAATCTCTCAGCCCTCAAGGATTAGCTGAGCGCCTCTAGGGTGATGGTACAGGGGGAGGAGCTAAGAGCTTTGGGTCCAGCCTGCCTGGATTTGAGTCTCACCTCTGCGATCTACTATCTGTGTGACTGTGCATATTACTTATGCTCCCTGTGTCTCAGTTTCCCCATCTGTGAAATGGTGATAAAAATAGAATCTATTTTAGGGAAGTTTTATTTTGTTTTTTTGAGACAGAGCCTCAAGCTATTGCCCTGGGTAGAATGTCCTGGCATCACAGCTCACAGCAACCTCCAACTCCTGGGCTTAAGCAATTCTCTTGCCTCAGCCTTCCAAGTAGCTGGGACTACAGGTCATCAACACAATGCCAGCCTTTTTTTTTTTTTTTTTTGGTTGTAGTTGTCATTGCTGTTTGGCAGGCCTGGGCTGGATTCAAACCTACCAGCTCTGGTGTATGTGGTGGCCAGTGCCTTAGACACTTGAGCTACAGGTGCTGAGCCTTTAGGGAAGTTTTGAGGACTAAATAATGTAATACACAGAAGGTACTTAGGGATATCATGTCATTTGACAGCTCCTGGCATGAAGTAAAAGCCTCCTAAATATCAGCCACTGCTATTATTACTAAGGAACCATCCCTGCCTACACTAGCCCACTGATGTGCTGCTGCCCAGAGCAACCTACAGTCAAGCCCCACCCAGGGAGGCTCTTGTTTGCATCTTATCCCTCCAATGAGATATGGGAGCTCTTTAGAACCCAGGGACCATGTATTACGGCAACCCTCACAGCTGGACACATAGTGAGCCCTGTTACTCACTGATGGGCTGATGGTGCTAACTCTCTGGACTTAATGGCTTCATATACAGAAAAGGGCATTCAAAGTAGTTATTATAGAAATATGCATGAGACCCTGGGTTACCAAGGGCCAACTGAAAATTACTCTGGTTATTTGGGGACAGTGAACAACTTATCCAGTTCTTAAAGAATTCTGAAGCTAGAATGGCCTTGAGCCATAAACTAGTCTTTCTTCTGCCTCTACTTGATTCTCATGGCCAATAGCATACCTGTCCTTTAAACTTCCCAACCCTGTTCATTCTGTTGTTTTTTTCCTTTTGTTTATTTTTGAGATAGTCTCATTCACTTCTTGTCCCCAGTAGAGTGCCATGCCATCATAGCTTACAGCAACCTCAAACTCTTGGGCTCAAGTGATTCTCTTGCCTCAGCCTCCCAAGTAGCTGGGACTACAGGTGTCTGCCACAACACTTGGCAATTTTTTAGAGTCGGCGTCTCACTCTTGCTCAGGCTGGTCTTAAACTCCTGAGCTCAAGCAACCCACCCACCATGGCCTCCCAGAATGCTGGGATTATGGGCATAAGCCACCATGTGTGGCCTAAACCCAGTAATTCTGAACCAGGAGAAGGGACAGGGGTCTAGCCCATCAGAGGTATATCTCCCGAGACATCCTGAGATGCACACACACACAGATCACTGATTATCTAATAACCTCCATCAAGTACATACACTCTGATTTTGATGAGATGGAGGCCAAGCCTTCAAAAGTGAGGATTAATGGCCCGGCGCCTGTGGCTCAAGTGGCTAAGGCACCAGCCACATACACCTAAGGTTGCGGGTTCAAATCCAGCCTGGGCCCGCCAAAACAACAAGATGGCTGCAACCAAAAAATAGCCAGGCATTGTGGCAGGCGCCTGTGGTCCCAGCTACTTGGGAGGCTGAGGTCTCAGCTACTTGGGAGGCTGAGGCAGGAGACTCGCTTGAGCCTAGGAGTTGGAGGTTGCTGTGAGCTATGATGCCATGGCACTCTACCCAGGGGGATAGCTTGAGGCTCTGTCTCAAAAAAACAAAAAAGAGTAAACAAAAGTGAGGATTAAGATCACTGATTACTATTTTCAACATCGTGGGAAAGTAGAAAGGCTTGTAGACTTAGCATAAAAAGTCTTCCAGTCATGCTCAGTTTTGCCAGGAGTGTGACCTTGATGAGCAGTGGAGATGCAGTATGGGGACAGTGATGTTAGCATCTGTGCTCCTACTGTGTGCCAGCCCTATACTAAAAGCTTTGTCTACACCATTTCAAATCCCATCACAGAGTCCGAGTGCAAACCTAGGCCTTTCACCTTACATTTTCTACATGTCATCAAGACCATCTTCTTCACGTATAATATTGAGGGAATATTTCCTGCTTTGCAGGGCTATTATGAGAATCAAATGAGATGATATCCCTAATCCAGGAAACCCATGTAAGTGAAGGATATCTTCCTATCCTGTCCCCTACAGGGGTGAAAAAATTGTGGAATCCTAGTAGCACCTTCTGGGTTACCCTGAGTGCTTAATGAACTGTGTGGGAGGAGGATAGATGGACTTCATGGGCTAGAGGTAATAATACTCTCCCCACCCTTTGATCCTGAAGCACTCTCAGCATACATTAGACTCCCAATACCAGAGGACGGAAGCCCATCTCCTGAGCAGCTTGTAATGGCAGCTCAGGCTGAGTTCTGACTCATGGACACCCACTGCCACCTCACAGTGCTTGCAGTGCTGTGACACATCACTGTCTGACCCTTGGCGCAGTTCCCAAAGGCCAGCCTCGTCCCTTTGGGAGCTCCCAGTATGGACCTAAACATAATCTCCCTGCATCTCTGAACCCCT